TGCTTCGAGGTCCTCCAATGCTGCTTGCAGCTTTAATTTAACTTGGGCCTTTCTGATTTCGAATTCCAAACTTAAAACTGAATCAATGGTGTTTCTACCTCTCCTAAAACCAATTTGATATTGTGACATATATCCTTTTGATTCTATATAGTATATCAATCTATCATTAATTTTTTTCTCTCAAATTTGATCTTTCCCAGGTGTTGTTAGCTTAAATTTATGTAAGGCTTGATTCTCTGATTTTGTAAAAGGAACATTTAATAGATCATTTACATCCTCTGCATGCTCCAATATCTCTCTATTCTCATCTATCATTGTCATTTCTCTGCCCCTTTTCCCTTCCAAAGTAATATTATCAGAACTACAGTATGTATTTTATTTAAGTCTAAAAAAGTTAAATCTGGTCCTCTGGACATTCAAAAAAACAAAACAAAGCAAAACAACAACAAAAATGTAGAAATGTTTCATCTTTCTTCCGAAAGACTTCCTCAGTCTGAGGTGCTACATTCAGCTCAGTCTTATAAATAGCACCTTCTCAGAGTGGATCAACCAGTTTTGCTGCTGACAACCAAAACCAGCTGCTCACATGATCGAGAAGGACCATCAGCCTAACAATGGATCATTAGCACACTGATGGCTGTTTACTATTCACAGGAGGCTGAGTGATACTAGAAATAACAGCATTGTAAAGGGGGGGGGGGGGACAATTGAACCCGGAGGCTCCACCCCTGTTTAATGATGGACGATTTCTTTTCACAAAGATGGCCTCCTTTACTCCTCTCTCAAACCATTGTTCCTCTCTATCCAGAATGTGAACATCTTCATCCCTGAAAGAGTGACCTCTGGCCTGGAGATGAGTGTAGACCGCAGAGTCCTGGCCTGATGATGTTGATCTTCTGTGCTGGGCCATCCTTTTGGCCAGTGGCTTTTGAGTTTCCCCGATGTAAGACTGATCACAGCCCTCCTGACACTGAACAGCATACACAACATTACTCTGTTTGTGCCGGGGGACTGGATCTTTGGGATGAACCAGTCTTTGCCGTAATGTATTTTGGGGTTTAAAAGCCACTGGGACGTTATGTTTAGAAAATAAACATCTCTGTTTCTCTGATACTCCCTCAACATACGGAATGACCACTGGTCTGGGTCTGGGTTCCTCCTTTTCACCTGATGACTGACTGGAGTCCTGTTTGGGTTTCTTCTCTGCTTTCAGGAAGGCCCAGTTAGGATATCCACATTGCTCTAGAGCCTGTCTTGTGTGGGATTTCTCCTTCTGCCTGGCTCCTGAGTTAGTGGGGACGCTGTCTGCTCTGTGGTACAGAGTCCTGATGACTCCTAACTTGTGCTCTAAAGGGTGATGGGAGTCAAACTGCAAATACTGGTCTGTGTGGCGGGGTTTGCGGTACACGTCAGTTTGCAAAACTAGAAAAGGAGGCCATCTTTGTGAAAAGAACTCGTCCATCATTAAAAAGAGGTGGAGGCCTCCATGTTCAATTGTCCCCCTATTACAATGCTGTTATTGCTAGTATCACTCAACCCCCTGTAAATAGTAAACAGCCATCAGTGTGCTAATGATCCATTGTTAGGCTGATGGTCCTTCTTGACCATGTGAGCAGCTGGTTTTTGTTGTCAGCAGCAAAACTGGTTGATCCACTCTGAGAAGATGCTATTTATAAGACTGAGCAGAATACAGCACCTCAGACTGCGGAAGTCTTTCGGATGAAAGACGGAACGTTTCTACATTTTTTTTTTTTTTTTGTTGTTTTTCACTGAGGTGTTCTAGTTCCACTATATCAGTCTCCAGATCTTTGATAGATCTTGTGATGTTGCGAGTAACGTTGAGCGTGTGCTGTTGACACAGCTGTTTTATTTGTACTTTCCCGTGGTCCCACCACTGTTGCAGACATGTAAAATCACCCTTCCTCTGTCTAAAAACCTTCATAAAATAACTCAGAATCTCCTTAAAACTACGGTCATAAGTTAAAACTGCTTTAAAATGCCAGTAGGTGCTCTTAGGTAAAATGTTTCTGATAAAAACCTAAAACCAGCAAATGATCTGTAAAAGCTACTGGTAAAATCTGACAGGCTTTAAACACGTTAAAATGATGTTTAAAACAATAAAACCGGTCAAGGCGAGCCAAAGAAATGCGATTCTCCTTACAGTGGGACCACGTGTACTGTCTGGAGCCTGCGTGCATCCTGCTCCATACATCCACCAGGCCATGAGACGAGACCAGCTGCCGCAGGAAGCGCTGGGCTGCTGGATGAGGCTCTGCGTGTTTGCGGTCTAAAAACTTGTTTTCAGTACAATTAAAATCCCCTCCTATAAAAACATAATCTTCAAACCCACAATCTCCCAACCTTTCCCCAATTTTTTCTAAAAAACGTTGTTTCTCTGCATTGGCAGTGGGAGCATAAATATTAATAAAAATTACATAAAAATGTTCAAACCCAGCTTTGACTAAGAAACACTTTCCCTGAACAATGTGTTGCACCTCTATGTGGCTGGGAGTGAAAGCTTTAGAAAAAAGGAGTCCCACTCCCACACTCTGGGAGGTGCCATGGCTAAAAAAGGCCTCCCCTTCCCACTCCCTGCACCACTCATTGGATGGATCACTGTGTCTCTTGTAAAAATAACATTTCAATTTTTTTATATTTTATGGTTTGTTAAACCAGTGCACGCTTCACAGCCTCTCTGGCCCCGTTGAGGTTTAATGATGCTATTTTAAAAGCATCCATGGTGAGTGAGAGGTTAAGAAGCGTGTACAAAAAACTATAAAAAATGTTAAAATGCAGGTGTTCATCATTTGTTCAGAATTGTTTCCTAACTTTGCTCATTATTTTCTTTAGGCTAAAGATTTCTTGATCGGTAAAACCTGACTCTTCTTTATGTCTGATGTGATGTCTGGCTGAGAAATAAAACGTTCTCAGGTTAGGAAAATAACTTTCAACTTTAACTCCTCTCAGTCCTTTGGTTTGCTTGAGGAAGTTTTATGATCTGAGTTCACTAGAGGCACATAGGTCATGTACAGTGGTAAATAAATGGGAAAAAATATTTGTTTATCTTTAGAATTTTGCATCATATCCTAACTTTTGAAATTACTTTAATACATCATATATAAACTGTTTAATTTTTTTACTGTAAAGTAAGTTTGATTATGTATTTATTTGTATATATCAATTGTATCCATTTGTATATAACTATTATTAATAAAACATGGTTCATCTTCACCTTGTTTGAGGCATCGTTGTGAAAAGAGAATGGGAGTGGGCTGCTTCCAGTTTCAATTTTTGGACCACTTCTTCTATTGCATTTGGACACAGGACATCGGTGACCACAGCCTCAGCCTTTGTCCTCCCACAGGACATCTTCTTGGCAATGCTGGAGTCATTCAGTGTTTGGAGAGTCAGCTTAAATCCACAGTCATAACTTAAAGTATGTTTCACAGTGTGGTATACTGTTTATGGACTGTCTGCAGTAATCATAACCAAAAAAAACTATATAAATTCATTTGTGTATTTTTTTATTTATCTATTTTATGTATTTTTTTATTCATCACAATAAAAAAAATATTTTTACTATATATTTATACTTTATAGCCATTAGCATGCACTCTATCCAGCCACGTTTCCTTTTTCCACTCGATTCTGTATTTTGCAGCCTTTTTTTTCTGGGAGGAGTAGTCGGGTTGTTGATGGAAGATGAACCGTGTGCGCTGTTCCAATCCTCTGAATTCCTGCCGCTCGGGTCCATGATGTCTTGTTGTCGAATCCTGTCTGTCGGCGGTGCGATAAAACAATAGGAGCTGGACCAATGAGATGAGCCGGATTCAGGGCTTTGTGAGTAAGAAGACTGCTCATTGGTCACAGAGCGGGAGAGGGCGGGAGTTAATTTACCGTAAAATCCCATACACAGCGCCCCATCATTTACTAACTCTATTGACATGGACATGTTTTTGGACTTTCATGATAGTACGGGACAAAGTGCGTCCCGTTGCAGCTCAATACGGAACGAGTACTTTTGTTTCTAAATACGGGACGATTTCGTTTTTTTTACAGGACGGTTGGCAACCCTAGTCCCAAAGCCAGTTTAAGTATCATTAATATTTTGGTTACTTTATTTTTCTTTCTTTATGAATCGATTGTAACTATTTTCACATTATTCAACAACCAAAACAGATTTTGATTCTTAATGTAGTGGCTAGGTATTTTTAAAAAATAAACGTTTATGTTGCTCTTATTTTGAAATGTAACCGGAAGTTCTGTGTTAATAGAGGTGGAAAAAGAAGTTATGGAGACGCCGCTAATGTCGAATCGTTTAACACCATAGACATAATATGTGTGTGGCTAACACAAATGGCTTGTTTGTTTTTCATTCGCCTTTTTTTCGTCCAATCAGATGTGGTTCTCCAGATACGCCTATTTTTTTATCGTCCAATCAAATATGGGCCTTTAGACACACCTATTTTAACATTATCCAATCCAATTTGGGCCTCCAGGCACACCCGTTTTACTATTGTCCAATCATATGTGGCCCTCCAGATACGCCTCTTTTTCTATCGTCCAATTATATGTAGATTTTCAGATACGCCTTCCGAATTTGTCTGCAGAGATACCTACTTGGTTTCAGACTGAAGAAGTCTTTCGGAAGAAAGAGAAACGTTTCTACTTTTTTTTTTTGAACGTCCAGAAACTTTTTTAGATTTTTCTACCTGGACTATTGAGCATGCATCAGGATGTTTTAAACGTGCTTTTTAAATTAAAAAAAAAAATGATTTGACTTGCTGGTCGTGTACATTCGGTCCGTGTTCGTTTTTTCATTTGAAACAAAAAATGAAAAAACAAAAACACTTGTTTTTTCGTTTATTAAACCAAAGTGAAAAATCTGATAAGGACCCCTTGCCTACTTTTATTGTGTAAAGCTGATTGCACGCGCTAATCTGCTCGCAGGGCAGGGGTGGGGGAGGATCTGGAGGCAGTGAACTTTTCTCTGCACTCACTCAGCGGAAGTTTGAGTCTGTAGCGTCTCCTCCTTGTGCGGCTGTGGTGAAAACTTCAGAATCGCTCCGTTATCCGCGAGCAAATTAGTTTAAACATTTGAAAAAGTCAGCAGCATGTCTCACCTCCGACCCAGACTGTGTGTTGTGGAGAAAGGAGCTAAAGGCTACGGCTTCCACCTGCACGGGGACAAGAACAGACCAGGGCAGTTCATCCGACTCGTCGAGGCCGACTCTCCCGCCTCGGCGGCCGGGCTGCTGGCCGGAGACCGGCTGGCGTTCGTCAACGGGGACAGCGTGGAGGGAGAGAGCCACCAGCAGGTGGTCTCCAGGATCCGGGCCACCTCCGGGGCTCTGGAGCTTGTCGTGGTGGACCCAGACACGGCCGAGCTGCTGAAGAAGCACAACCTGCCTTGCCGGAAGTCGTTCGTCACGGAGGGAATCCCTGTGCCCGGCGGCGACGGAGACTCCGACCGCGGGGACTCGCACAGCAGCGGCAGCTCGAGAGAGTCCAGCCCGGAGTCCAAGGAGAACGGAGACACCTCCTCGGAGAGGTCCGGGAGGCTCAGTATCAGCTCCAGCATCAAGGTAAGACCATGCCATGTCCGTGTTCTTGTCTGTTAGCAAAATATCTAGTCACTGGACGAACTCCCAGAAAACAAGGGCTGAATATCTAAAAAAGTTAAATCTGCTCCTCTGGACATTCAAAAAACAAAACAAAGCAAAACAACAAAAAAATGTAGAAACGTTTCGTCTCTCATCCGAGAGACTTCCTCAGTCTTAGGTGCTGTATTCAGCTCAGTCTCTTAAATAGCACCTTCTCAGAGTGGATCAACCAGTTTTGCTGCTGACAACCAAAACCAGCTGATCACATGATCAAGAAGGACCATCAGCCTAACAATGGATCATTAGCACCTGATGGCTGTTTACTATTCACAGGAGGCTGAGTGATACTAGCAATCACAGCATTGTAAGAGGGGGACAGTTGAACACGTAGACCTCCACCCCTGTTTAGGATCCCATTCCATATGTTGAGGGAATATCAGAGAAACTGAGACGTTTATTTTCTAAACATAACGTCCCAGTGGCTTTTAAACCCCAAAATACATTACGGCAAAGACTGGTTCATCCCAAAGATCCAGTCCCCCGGCACAAACAGAGTAATATTGTGTATGTTGTTCAGTGTCAGGAGGGTGATCAGTCTTACATTGGGGAAACTAAACAGCCACTGGCCAAAAGGATGGCCCAGCACAGAAGATCAACATCATCAGGCCAGGACTCTGCGGTCTACACTCATCTCCAGGCCAGCGGTCACTCTTTCAGGGATGAAGATGTGCACATCCTGGACAGAGAGGAACGATGGTTTGAGAGAGGAGTAAAGGAGGCCATCTTTGTGAAAAGAAATCGTCCATCATTAAACAGGGGTGGAGGCCTCAGGGTTCAACTGTCCCCCTCTTACAATGCTGTGATTGCTAGTATCACTCAGCCCTCTGTGAACAGTAAACAGCCATCAGTGTGCTAATGATCCATTGTTAGGCTGATGGTCCTTCTTGAGCATGTGATCAGCTGGTTTTGGTTGTCAGCAGCAAAACTGGTTGATCCACCCTGAGATGGTGCTATTTAAGAGACTGAGCTGAATACAGCACCTCAGACTGAGGAAGTCTCTCGGATGAGAGACGAAACGTTTCTACATTTTTTGTTGATTTGCTTTGTTTTGTTTTTTTGAATGTCCAGAGGACCAGATTTAACTTTTTTAGATTTTTCTCAATGGATTATTGAGCATGCATCAGAAGGGCTGAATAGCTTCGAACAGCTTTAGGGGCGGCTGTGGCTGAGTTAGAGCAGTCGTTTACCAATGGGAGAGTTGGGGGTTCGATTCCACCAGCAGTCACATGCAGAAGTGTCCTTGGGCATGACACTGAACCCCTCATTGCCTGATGTGTCCCATCGGTGTATGAATGTTATAAAGCACTCATTAATCTTTGTAGAGATATTATAGAGTGCTGATGTTCAATGTTTTATGTTATGAGTGCTTAGTGTATATTTAGTTTATGTTTTTCTTAGTCCATATCTTAGATGTTATTACTGTTTTTCTTATACATTTTATTGTTGGATGTAACTGGGACCCTGTGTACATAATTTCGCTCCACCACATGTACCACATGAGGTGCGAATGACAATAAAGAAACTCTGACTCAAGGTGGCTGCATGTTTGGGGGAGTGGTGGCGCAGAGGTTAGAAGATGGGCTTGCGATCAGAAAGTCGTAGGTTCACCTCCCGGTACCGTCAACATCAAAAAAAAAAAAAAAATGTGGGTGGAAAAGGTGAAACACCCACACCTGCCTCCACCCTCATTCGCCCCACTCTGGGCCCCTGAGCAAGGCCCTCAACCTCCACCATATGCTCCCTAAAACAGGTCTCTCTTGAAAATGAGTTCTCGTGGCTCAATGAGACTACCTGTATAAATAAAGGGTAAATGGAAAAAAAAAAAAAAAATGTTGGAGCAGCTCTGTTACTTTCATTCTGAGATTTTGCTTTTGGAAACTTTAATTCCTCTTTTTCTGGATGTAAATCACATTTTTTTTGGATGGTTGTTTCCTCTGGTATCAGATGCTGTGCAGCTGTGAAGGATTTTTTCTGAAACTTTTTTAGTTTTGGACATTTGTTATGATGCGTAACCATGGCAACAAGGCAGTTTTCTACAACCAGCAGCTGATTAACATCTAAAAAGCTCAAATAATATCTCAGCTACAGCCCCAAATCTCAAGTGAGTTGAAAAGGATGTTCTGTGGACGCATTCTCATCTACCTGCCAGCTGTGCTTGATTGCCTGACCACGGAGATCCTGGAACTAGCAGGAAACACGGTTCATGACAGTGGAAGGACAGGATCGTCCCTCGGCACCTACAGTTGGCTGTCCACAGCGACGAGGAGCTCGGCAGACTGCTGGGAGGAGTTCTGCCCGGCATTCAGGCGATCCTACAGGGAACTGAGAGGCCAGCTGAGTCTGGGTGGACGGATCGGAAGGCATCTGCAGCCAGTTTCTTAGGATCCACTGTGGAATGGACCTTTACAAGAGATCCTTCCTGTCTACAGCCATCAGTATCTATAACATCTCTTAATGAAATGAGGACAACGAGTTACTACAACAAATAATTTCCCTTTGGGATTAATAAAGTATTTTTGAATTTGAATTTGAATGATTAAACACAGTTAATAGAAAACGATTTAAAAACTCTTAAAATTTCCATGCTGGGTGATGATATTTCAAACTCTGTGTGCTGTGCAATTCTGGCTCCTGCTTTAAGATTGTGCATTGACGTTTGTGGTTTGACGTGAGAACATACAGTACACTGACGTTCACATGGCAGTGCAGGATGTCAGAGATAGTGTCGGGGCTTATCTTAACAGGGCGTTCTTCATGTTTTACACAGATCAACAGTCTCCAGTGATTTGCTGTAGAAGACCAAAGGTTATGTGGGACAGCTCTGAGAATCCACTGGTTGAGACTCCTGTAAAAAGATCACCTCTCACTGCTGTCAGAAATGTCCAGCCTGTCAGTACATGTAGTTAAATACCAGCAGATTTTATTACACACACTCTGTTCACAGTTTGCAGGTACAGTGAAAGATATGGGCATAGATTGTTTTTATACCTCTTCATGGTGGAAAAGCAAATAAATGATAAAAGAAGGAAGGGAAGCCTGACCAAATACTCATCACTGTGTACTTGTTCTCCACCCAGCACCGTATAAATGTCACTTGTGTACTCTTTACCTCCCATCACTCTGTGTCAAAGTACATCAGAAGAACTCTGACCCACACACCCAGACCGAAGGTTGAGGCACATCTCGTCTTTCGTTTGACTAACGTAAGCCGACAATGTTTCTTATCCTGATACATGCTCAATAATCCACGTAGATACGTCTAACAAGGTTAAGGACGGATTCTTCTTTGTTGAAACGTTTTGTCTTTTATCCAGAATCAGTTGGGAATTGATTTCATATCACCAAAATGTATCAGACTGAAGAAGTCTTTTGGATAAAAGGCAAAATGTTTCAACAACAAAGAATCCAATGATTTTTAAATGGTTGGTTAATCCCAGTCACGTTTTCCACAAATATCTGCAGTTTTGGTACAACTCTACAATCACTGATGACACGGTGGTGCTCACCAAGCTTCTGTAAACATATAGGTTGGTCGGTTTGTCAGGAAAATGGTCCTTTTACCAATTTGGGAAACACACATATAGCACAGAAAAAGTCTTAAGACACTATTCGGATGAAAGATGAAAACGTTTCTTCCAAAACGAAACTGTCCAGATGATGTGATTGAACTTTTTTTGTGATTTATGATAGGGATGCATGATATTGGATTTTTGGCCGATATGCCAATGTGTTAAAACTTATTCGGCCGATAACCGATACCGATATATTTTATGTACGTTCCTTTGTCAGAACATAGCTCTCTTATTTAGGCTTATTTGCTACATAAATTGTGCAACAGCTGTAAGAGCTGGTGACATATATTCAGTAACAGCCATATGATATGCATAGCACTTTGACTTATATTGAATGAAAAGTGTTAAATGTTATTTATTAGCATTAATCACCTGCAATGCTGTCTCACTTGTGGAGGCTTGTTCCAGGTTCCCAGCTGCAGTGTGGGAACCTCTGTGGGATCTTGTTAAATGCAATAAATAGCATTGTTTTGACAAGCTGGTAAGACTGGTACGAGTATTTATGATTAAGCAATGAAAAAGTGAAGTTGCCTTACAAAAATGTAATTTATTCAATAAAATAAACGCCATTTCAACTCCTCGAACCAACATCAAAAATTTGTGGGTGACAAAGGTGAAACACCCACACCTTCTTCCACCCTCACTCGGCCCTTGAGTAAGGCCCTTAACCCCCACCCTCTGCCCCCCTGTGTGCCCTAGATGGCAGCGTCCTGCTCCACACAGAGGGCTGTGGTAGCTCGCTTATCAGTGGTTGTTTCAGGAAGGGCATTTGTCATAAAAACAATCGCCAAGTCTTTGTGTGAGTTAGTTTGCTGTGGGGACAGACCCCTGAAGAAGGGAGCAGCTGAAAGAAGAAGAAAAGGAAAATCGTCAACGAATTATTGTTTGAGTCAGTCCAGTTTAAGATTGCACCATCCAATCTTAGCAAACACAAAAAGGGCTGTAACTCAGTCAATTCGACACCTTTGACCTAAATTCAGTGTGGTGGTCGCTGAGCATCGTAAAAACATCTTAAACATCTTTGCATAAACTATTAACGTAAACTCTGTTTTTCTGTTAGAAAAATATCTTTTGAACTACTGGACGTATTTCAATTAAACTATCAAACACTAATTATTGTCTGTATACCTAGAACTGTTTAAATTTTTAAGTCAGCCCAAGTTGAGATGAACTCCACAGCTAGTCTGCTTTAACTTGTACAAAATCAAATATAACCCAGTGGATTTTATAGATATTTAGCTAAAGTTTGGTCTAGTACTAGCTGACAGTCACAGTCCAAGCATGAACGCATCACATCAGTTATTGTGCATAGAGTTATTTTCCAGGCTTGGCCAAAACATCTGCTGCCTT